TTTGATCCATTTTTCCAAAAGAAAAAAAAAATGTAAAGAAAAAGAAAAAGAGGAGTATAATAATCACTGCCACTCTAGCCTGTCAATTTTTTAAAAAGAATATATCTATATTTATTTTAAATCTTAACCACAAGTTCTTTGTAGTTTTCAAAGTAGAAGGGTTCTTGTCTTTTTCTTTCCTTTTCCTTCTCTTGCCAAAATATTTTCCAAGAGCACCTGCAAAACACTGTTCATGCCCTTGAGTCTTTATCAGGTTTTATAAACAAGTTCCAAACCCTTCCGTTACAAAGTCAGTGAAGTCAAATAAGAATGAACAAAGGATACATTGTTTCAAGGGAAAAAAACTTCAGACTCAGGCTTCCGAATGGCAGATTCCACTTTTTAAATACTTTTTCTTTAAGTATCTTTAATATAATTTTATAACAAATATAAGGAGGAATTTGTTAAAATAAAAAGAAAAGTTTTAGTTTAAGCCAAAAGAATTAAGGTAGTAAAAAATAGAGGAAAAAGTCAATCCATTCACTTCAAGCGAAGAAATAGGAAACGTTGCAATCACTTCAATCCACAAAACATTGTTACAAGCAAGAGCAAAAAACTTCTAAGGCAGTCCAATAGGGATAAAATTCGCCACTTTATTCTTTACTTAGAGGACTAATTTATCTTTTAAAAAAGGTTTCTTAGGGCAATCTTCTAAAAGAAAAAAAAACCTCACCAGATGGACCCACTTTCACTTCTTCTTTTCCTTCCGGAGCCGTTTCTGACTTTGTCAGGCTAGGGGTTGCCTGTTTGCTGCTGGTTGGAAGCGCTTCCCTTGAGTCGATCAGGGACTTTGCGGTGTCCCTGCGACCAGCAAGGTTTTGTCTTCCTGATCACCATCTCTTTGGGACGGTTTAGGTCCTACCGGACCTAAAGTGTCATCAGCAAACTCGGATTGTCGAGTCCGCATGATGTATCGTCGCGACATTGGCTCCTCCTCAAAAGTGCTTCACTTTTTAAGAAGAAAGAAACCAAAGACATTTTTAGAATGCACCAATACCATGGAGTATCAAGGGAGATGGTGGAATGTGTTAGCCATAGGGGAAGGGAATGGGGATGCCAAAAATGACAAAGAAGCTATTGGCAGTTGAGTTGCTGCTCTCCTAGAACCAGTTAATTCTTTGACAGTTCATGACATAGTATGGCAACACAGAACGAGAAGAGTTGGAATGGACCTTGCAGGTCTTCTAGTCCAACCTTGTGCTCAGGCAGAAAACATCTATACCATTTCAGATAAATGGTTGTCTAATCTCTTCTTAAAAACCTCCAGCATTGGAGCATCCACAACTTCTGGAGGCAAGTCATTCCCCTAGTTAATTATTCTAACTATCAGGATATTTTCTCCTAGTTTTAGGTTGGTTCTCTCCTTGATTATTTTCCACCCATTGCTTCTTGTCCTGACTTCAGGTGCTTTGGAGAATAGCTTGACTCCAGGGGTGAAATTCAGCAGGTTCTGACAGGTTCTGGAGAACCAGTAGCAGAAATTTTGAGTAGTTTGGAGAACCAGCAAATACCACCTCTTGCTGGCCCCAGAGTGGGGTGGGAATGAATGGAGATTTTGCAATATCCTTCCCCCAGGAGTGGGAGGGAATGGGGATTTTGCAGTATCCTTCCCCTGCCAAGCCTGCCAAGCCACGCCCACAGAACCAGTAATAAAAAAAATTGAATTTCACCATTGCTTGATTCCCTCTTCTTTGTGGCAGCCCCTGAGATATTGGAACACTGCTATCATGTCACCCTAGTTCTTATTTTCATTAAATTAGATATACCCAGTTCCTGCAACTCTTATTAATATGTTTTAGCCTCCAGACCCAGACTATTAAAGAATAATTTGCTTTTGGTTTTAAATATGTTAGTAACGCTTTAGAAATTAAGTCCTACCAACTGAAATAAAAGGAATTGGGAATGAAACACTGCTATGAAACTGTCACGGAAAATAAGGCCAGGACCTGATCTCCTTTGGTAGGATATTGTTTTAGATAGTATAAAAAATTGGAAATCAAATTTCAAATTAATCTAGAAAAAAATAATCCTAATCCTAATATAAATTTGACAGTGAAACCAAATACATAATTTATGGGCTTCTCTTTACTAAGTGAGTTCAAATGGCATCATAAATTCTTACGTAATACCAGTAATACAAAATACATTTTCTTGGCTTCTCAGCTTCCAGATCTATAACACTATATACATATAGTATGTATTGTCTGCTGACCTTTTATTGCAAACCTTGCTTAAATGTAAGCATATTTATTAGGTTTTTTTCCCCAATGTAGTTGGGCTTCGATCGGATTACTCTTCAACAACAGGAACAGGTACATTACTGAGTTTTCCTGTCATAACTGTTGTTCTTAACCTCTGATATGAGAGCGTATGTGACAATTACAATTGAAGTGATTTACTTACCAAAACACTATTTTTCTTTATGGCTTTTTTATTAACCTTTATATTTCTGTAATGCTTTTGATGGTTCGAAGTACTTTACAAAGTATAATCCTTATAAAGATGCTAGAGATAAATGAGAATTAGGAATTGGTTTCATTTCCAAGAATAAGATTTTTTTTAAAAAATAATGTTTCTGTTCTAGGTTTGATTTTTTTAAAAAAAATATAGTTTATTTTGTGTGTTAAACCAGGCTATAGTATAAGGAGACAGAAACAGCGGCATATGCAGTCTGAAAAGATATAAGTTCCCCACAGTATATCATTGGAGGCATTCAATAATTCAGAATGTCTCTAATTCCATCATTCCTGCTCCCCCAGATGCTTTTTCAACAGGCAACTGGACTTTCTTGCTTTTCTTTGAAGGCATTTCATTTCTCAACCAAGAAGAAGATTGGATGGTGAGGAATGGAAGAGTTTATATTTCTTGCAGATGGCTGGTCATTGGCATTCTTTTAGAGCAGAGGTATAAACTGGCATGGACCAGATCCGTCATGCACAGGCCATGCCCAGCCCAGCTTCGCAAAGGGAATTTTTTTTGCAATACATCACATGATGCCAATGTGGCGCTGTGAGTTGGACACTTCACCCTTGTTTTAGAGCAGTGGTAGTCAACCTGGTCCCTACCGCCCACTAGTGGGCATTCCAGCTTTCATGGTGGGCGGTAGGGGCTTGCTGTAACTGTAAATTTTCATGGTGGGCGGTAGGGGCTTGCTGTAAATTTTATAAAGTAAAGTTACTTCCCTATTTTATAAATCACCGTTACTGTGGAACTGGTGGGCGGTTAGAATATTTTACTACTAACAGAGATACAAAAGTGGGCAGTAGGTATAAAAAGATTGATTACCCCTGTTTTAAAGAGTCGTTGAGGCTCTCTTTGCCCTACTCAGGTGACCCTGAGGACACAGATAAACCTCCAAGAGGCCTCAATGGAACTCTAAAAGAATGCAAATGATCAGCTGTCTGCAAGGAATATAAGTCCTTCCATTCCTCACTATCCAGTCAGACCTGAAGAAACTTCTTGGGTGAGAAGCAAAATGTCTTCAAAGAAAAACAAGAAGCTCCAGTTGCCACTTGAAAAAGCACTTTTGGGACAACCATGACCTGGATGGCTGACAATCTCCATAGATACCATTCCTGCTATTTAATCCACATGAAACTCACTGCTACAAGACTGCAGGAGGACCAGAATACAGTTTATTTATTTAATTTATAAGGCTTCCCAAATCAAGACAACTCTGAGTGGCTTACAATTTTTTTTTCACAAGATAAAAAAAAAATTCTTAAAAGAAGTAGTAACTGAAGATCAACATTAATCGTCATAAATCATTCACGCCTTTGGAACACAATTGCGAAAGCTAGTGTCTTGATTTCCTTTTATACTGGGGGAGAATATGCATGACACCTAGATTAAAATACAGCTACTCCTTGATTTATGACCACCACTGGGAACAGAATTTCATTGCTAAGCAAGGCAGTTATTAAGTCAGTCACATTTGATTTTATGACCTTTTTTTGCTATAGTTGTTAACCGAATTGCTGCAGTTGTTAAATTAATCATGCTTTTATTAAGTGAATCCTGCTTCCTTCATTGTCTTTGCTTGTGGAAAGCTGAATGGAAAGATTGCAAATAGCAAACATGTGAGCTCAGAACACTTGTAATGCAGTATTTCTTCTGCCATTTTGATAATTTTGGCTGGGACTCACATTCGTATCCATATGAGTAAATGTCCTTTCCTTTCCTTTCTCCCCTCCCCTCCCTCCACATCTCCTTCCCCTCTTCTCAAAATCAAAATTGTAAAGAATGCCTCAATTATTTTTGCAATCAACCTGATCTTGTGTTCAGCCAAACTTTTACAAATAAATGAAATTGTTAATGCAAGTAATGACATTGAAATTTTTATCAGTGACATAAGAAATTCTATATAAAATGTGGGTCGTACATAGTATTTGTAGTGGAGCAATTGGTAAATGAAATGAGTTTGCACTATTTCTGCAGGTGCAAACTGTATCTATGATCTGCATGCAGATCACTTGCATCAGCATTTTCCACTGGACTTTTTGGAAACATCAGGAAGGATGATCTGTTATTTTAAACTGATTGCGTTGGTTGGCTACTTAATTCGCCTTTCTATAGCATCCATTCGGATTGAAGCAGACAACTGTATTAGTGATTCATTGACCATTTATGACTCCCTAATGCCAATAAAGAGTAAGATATTATATCGGTAAGTAGGCTTTTCTAATAAGGATTTTAAAAAAATATTGCTAAGATTTTTTTAAAATCTAAAGATTTTAAACAAACTCACAATTTCTTCACTGTTATATACTGTATTAATAAATAACTGTCTCCATTGCAATTAGGCTAAATGTTTTAAAATTGACAATGTATTGAAACAATAATTAGCTTCATACACTATACCCATATAACACACACACACGCATAAAATATAGTGTGTGTGTGTGTGTACCATTTGCCATATACCATTTAAACGAACTGCAAGTTATCTAGGTTCATACATCACATCAAATGTAAGCCACGGTAAAATAGCTAGGTTTATATAACACATTAAACCCATCAAACAAATCACATTATGGATTAGTGACAAATAGAAACCATATATTTATATACTATTTTGAAGCATTAATTTTATAAAGTTGGCAATCAGAAAGATGCCCATATGAATTCTATAAAAGATTATTATGTATTATGTTCTTGTTATATGTGTGAAATTATTTATTTAATATATTTATTAGATTTTTTACCCTGCCTTTATTACTTTGTAAGTAATTCAAGGCAGAGCACATACTTCCTTTCCCTTCTTGCCTGCAACCTGTGGGGTGAATTGGGCTGTGAGAATGATTTAGTAGCTCTTAAGCACCTGTAAAGTCAAGCATAGCTATTATATAACTTGTAATATTTTTTTCAACATACAGTATGTTGTTTATAACTATAAGAATTTTATTTTTGTTTTTATCAACTAGCACAAATAATTAACCAACTGATTAACCAACAAAGCAGGATGGAGAATTCTAGAATAGGCATGAAAGATATCTAGTAATTTCTATAATACCCATACATTTATAACAAATTGTTTTATTTCAGAATATGTGAACCTTCCAATTCATTGATATCTTTTGTTTCTACAAATAATATGATGTTAGTTATGCTGAAGTCCGCACAAGTTAGGCAAATGAAGGAATTTCATGGCTATTTTGAGATGATTCCACAAGAAAGTACGTATTTTGTCTTTTTTTGTGGTCATATTACTTAAATTATGTTCTATCTTTGAAAGTAGCGCTTTATTCATGACAATTTATTTTAGAATCTCTGGCATGCATTTAGTTCCTCTCTCAACTCCTTCCCAACCCTTGTTTCACTTTAAGCAGTTTTTCTGCTTGAAACTTTAAGGTTTAACCCAGCTGTACTTACACCCATAACTCATTGATGTTATGCTACATTATACCACTAGATGGAGGAGTTGTCATATATACCCAGCACCAGAGTAATTTGTCTACTGACATCACTGAAAGCTGATCCATATCAGATCAGATCTGGATAGCATTTTAAAACATTACTAGGAAAAGCATGGCTCGATAGAGAATACTAGGAACTGAACATAGAAATACTGAAGCAGATCAAGAAATCTAACCACATCATAAAGGGAAAGAGCTTGAATTAAGAGAGTCTTGATCTTTAAACAGTTGCTTTATTCAATTGCTTATTGGTAGTTTAATACCAATAAACTAATCCTACCATACTATCTTTAGCAATGGTGATTTTCCAACTTAGTACAGGAAATCAGATAGCTTTTGAGTACAAAAAATTGTTCTATTATATTAGTCAATGACTCCTCCATAAGTCTTGCAATTTCTTTATTTTCCTTACTAACTATCACTTCCTTTAAAAAAAATATGTAATAGATATTTAGTAGCTTAAGAGATGTTTTACTGTGATTACAAAACTATGTCTTTTATGCTTTTTCATCATCCAGGTAAAGGCAGTTTTCAGGAGCATTTATTTAAGATACCGCATTATATTGTGTCGTTTGTTGCTATCTTAATTCTCTTACTACACTTTTTCCTGCTTTTATTATTTCCATTCTTTGTCATGCTGAAATCTATGTAAAAGAGTAGAGAACTTCTCTTTCTTTTTTTGGCTGATTCTTGGTTTTCCAATTGTATATAAACAGGACCATCCTTTTTTCCCCCCCTTAGAATGTGGAAATACTGTATTGGCATTAGGAAGTACCGGATTTGAAGGGCAAATCATAAGTCCCTATTATCCCAACTATTATCCTCCAAAATGTATTTGCATGTGGACTTTTCAGGTAATTTTAAATACCATCCTTAGAGGACTTTTCCAACTACACTTCCCTATGTTTGGTGTCAGCTGGAAACGGGACTCTCTGTCTCTTTTGTGAGATGAAGTTGCAAGAGTCCAAACTCTTTGATCTCTGCACAAAGCTTTAATGTCCCTCTTACTCTGGGATTTTTTTTGGGGGGGGGGGTCAAATAGCTGTAATGGGAGATGAAAGGTTTCCTTGTGAATGGTAGAAAGCAGCACCTGTTCTTTAATTCTGTCAGCCTAATTTCTCTCTTTAAACGCTTAGAACTGGCCGATTAAATTAAAGCAACAAGCTTCTGCCATAGTGTATTCTTAGGTTTGAAGTGTGCATGTGTATTGTGTTGGTTGAAAATCCTACTTCAATATATGGAACGACAAAGTTGCTTCATTTGTTGTTGTCTTCTTTGTCTGTTTTGGAGGAGCTCCAGAGGTGGGTTGCTCCCGGTTTGGCCCGGTTTGGCCAAACCAGTAGTGGTGGCGGAAGGAAACTGCACCCACCCATCCGGACGCTTTTACGCATGCGCAGAAGGGCTGTACACATGCGCGAGCATGAGCAAACCAGTAGTAAACTGGTTAGCAACCCACTATTGAGGAACTCCTGTTGGGCCTTTTTCTGATGAAGGCCCCATTGGTATAGCCACAAGTTCTGAGGGCTTCCTTGATGATTTTTAGTTTTTTTTCTTTTCCCTCTTTGCTGGTAGGTAAACATTCAGCCCACTCAAGGACACTGCTATGTATGAGACTCCAAAGAGAAATCCCACCCGCAGTCATTAAAAAAAAAGGTTACCAATTTCCAGCAACAACTACTGAAGGAGAATGCCACTGACAAGCCACCATACTTGCAACATTGCAACACTGTCATTACATATAATGCAGGAATAGCTGAAAAGTTCAGGAGGATTTTCAACCAACACAGCATACACACGTACTTTAAATCCCAAAATAAAATACTCAGACACAAGCTGTACAATGTGACTTATGCAGTACAATGCAGTGAGACATGTGCAAATCTGTACATTGGTGAAATAAAACAACTATTTCACAAACATAATAGATGAGAACAAACCCATCAGGACAAGACTTAGCATCTACATTTGAAAGACAATGGCCACTCTTTTGAATGGCCAGAGAGGACCACTGGTTTGAAAAGGATAAAAGAGGCCATTTATGTTAAAATTGAACAGTCCTCTCCCAATAGAGGGGACCACCTATCTTCTGTTAATGAAACAGTCCTTTCACCACTTGTAAGGAGACACTCATTTGGACTCTGGTGGCTTCAACTGTCTCTCAGAGAACTAATGGCCCACATTCAAAGTTTTAATACCCAGGTGATTGCAAGGAATATAAATCCTTCCATTCCCCAGCATTTAGTGAGAACTGAGGATGCTTCTTGGGTGAGAAGTGAAATGTCTTAAAGGGGAAAATAAAGTCCAGTTGCCTTTTGAAAAAGCACCTTTGGGACAACCATGACCTGGATGACTGAGACTCTCCATAGACATTGGACAGTTGGCTTCCCGCCAAAGGATGAACCAGAACTCATTATTTCCTGGATTTTATCCTGATGCCTTAATACTATACCACACTAGCTTTCTATATTCTTTCACAGACATCAAAGTCTGGCAAAATTTAAATGGAGACAGAACATATTCCCCATTACACAGTGGGACCTTTCATTCCAAACACTTTATAGCTTACATCTCACTCACTTACATATCTTCTAGCATATCCCCGTTTCATTCTTGTGACATATAAAATAAGTTCTGATAAAAAGTATTGCAGACCCTATTTCTACACTGTAAAGTGGCCAGAAAATTGATTCCCTTTTGCAAAAAACAACAACAACACCCTTTCTTTCTTATTCTTTCTTAAAACCAGGCACCTCAGAAGAACTTTGGTATTGCACTGCTGTTTCATAATTATATGATCAGTGAAAAAAGCATTAAAGGCTGTGAACATGGATGGTGGAAAATTAATGAGCTAATGTAAGTATATTCATATATTGTAAGTAGTTTAATGGAGCAGGAATGAAAAGCAATGAAAAACTTTGCATATGAAACAATACACATGAGTTTTTAATGTTACAGTTATAAAACCTACTTTGGCAGATAGGGAAGGGCCAATGTATCCCTGTGTGATAATTTAGAAAGTTTTTTATTTTAATTATCACTGCAATGTGCATTAGCATATCTTATCAATACTTCACAGAATTCAGGAGGGATAAAGAATATAACTAAAGATGTGCGCATTTGTGTAGAGAAATCTAAATTAGTCTTATGAACCCTTAGAAGCATGTTCTACTGTACAACAAAGGAAACTATTGTATATTAAAAGCAATAATTATTCTGATTCAGGGATGGGCTGCTACGAGTTCGCCCAGGTTTGGGAGAACCCGTAGCTAACATTATGGCCAGTTCAGAGAACCTCTAAATCCCCACACTGGCTGGCCCTGCCAAACACATCCCACCCCTCCAGCCCTGCCCTGCTCCTCACTGGAGTCTCCAGATAGCCGGTTTTGGATGTGAGATAAGTGCAGGGCCCACACAGAGGCTCAGGGAGAGGGGAATGGGCCTCCTGGAAGTGCTGGAAGACTGGAAACGGGTCTGCCTCTGTCCTCCGGAGGTCTTCCAGAGCCTGGAGGAAGCAGTTTTCGCCCTCCCAGAGGCTCGAGGAAAGCTTCTGGAGCCTTGGGAAGGCAAAAACGCCCCCCTCCGTGCCGTGATTCAGGTGGCCGAATAGGCCATGCCCACCCAGCAACTGGGCAGAGAACATATTGCTGAAATTTTTGAAGCCCACCCGTTCTGATTTAATTATTTATCAAGCTAAGTATTGTTTGTCCCAATAGATAAGCTAAGTTAGACATGTGTAAAACACACACACAAAAACTTTGGGAAAGAGTACTAGATTAAGGTGACCAGATTTTCAGATTGGNACAAGAAGCAATGGGTGGAAACTAATCAAGGAGAGAAGCAACCTAGAACTAAGGAGAAATTTCCTGATAGTTAGAACAATTAATCAGTGGAAAAACTTTCCTCCAGAACTTGTGAATGCTCCATTACTGGAAGTTTTTAAGATATTGGATAAACATTTGTCTGAAGTGGTGTAAGGTTTCCTGCCTAAGCAGGGGATTGGACTAAAAGACCTTCAAAGTCCCTGTTTTTTTCTGTTTTTAACTTAAAATGATTATAAATGTTTATGTCTGTTACTCAAAACAGATCTCATAAGTCTCCTAGATACTTCAGCATGCATAACTAAAGGCTCACTTTTGTTTCAAAAATATAGTAACACTGAAAAAATTGCTGCCAAATATTAGCTGCCAAAACTTGAGAGCTTTTGCAGGTTGCGGACATGGTACTGGTTTTGTATGCATTGCCCACTTCTGTTCTGATGGAAAGAACTGCCCTTTTTCCAGAGATGATAAATGAACAATTTTCTTATGCAAGAACAACTACTCTCCACAGTTGCACATGAATGCCCTTATTGCAATATATATTCTTTATATCCAGCAAGTTTTAAAAAACAGTTTGTGTATTTTTCCTGTATCTTGGGAATTTTAAAAATTACTGATAGATATTTTCCAACTGTTATCTTAACACATAAATGAGAAAAGAAAGACAAATGTATTTTGGAACTGAAAGACATAAAATTAATTATAGATTTTTTGATACCAGTACTTGGAAAGATTTAAAAATAAATGTTAAAGTTTCTAAGCAAATTGAAAACAACGTAGCAATTATCATAAATGAGCATTCTTTGTCAACAATACATCAGCTTTTGAGTAGATAACTTTCTTAGTTGCTTCTGGGAATGGTGTGTATGTACTATATCTTGATTTCAAGAAAGCATTTTAAAATGTACTGTTAACATTCTGATTATCAAACTAGTTAACTGGAAATCCTATCTCAATGGGCCAGTAGAGAAATATCACAATATTGGTTCTGGGCCCTGTGATCTTTAATAATTAGCAAAACCAGGTTGCTTAATAAAATTAGGTACAGATAGAGCTATAAACATGGAAATAATCATGATTGCCTAGAGCAGTGATGGCGAAGCTTTTTTCCTTGGGTGCCAAAAGTGTATGCGTTTGCTCCGACACCCATAATCTAAAAAGTGCTTCGCTTTTTAAAATTTTTTTTATTGTTTTTATTAAACAAAAAAACACACACACAAAAGAATCATCTTTCGTTACATCTTGTAGAAAACGTGTCAATTGGTTACAGATACATTTTGTGCATTTCTTCCACAATCATTACATATACTTCATTCAAATTGAGTTGTACATTTTAGAATTTATGTATTTTACTATCACTGTACCACAATTTTCATTTGATTACAGTTACTGAAACGTGTTTTTATCTAAAATCATTTGTATTTGAAGACACAACCACCTACTGGCATCCTTTCGCAATCTCAATGAGTCTGCCATAACTTTACATCTTTATAACATATTCTAAAAAAGAGTCAGTTAGTAGGATATCTAATATTCCCCCCCTTCCCCTCCCCCAAA